TCTGTTATGGTTCATAGGAAGTATAACATCAAGTTATGTGTGTATAGTGCAAGGTATAGTGTAGGTACCTAATACAGTATGCACCTTACGGATTTCAACGAGAAAATTAGGGTGTTGGATATGTGGAAGTGAAAATAGAGAAAAATGTGTGCGCTGTAAGGGCACAGATATGCCCAGAACAGAGTTCGAAGTAAATCATATTCTGAATTGCAATTACAATATTACATATCGATGGATTTTCGTCGATAACTGACTGAAAGTAAATCGACATTATGTACTTTAATTAATTAGAATCGTCTTCACAACAATACAAATGGGATGTCAAACTCGCGGTATCACGTCGAACTTTTTTCGTATATTTTCTGTTGGGACGTTTATATACAATTTATTAGGTTCGCGATGACTTCTGCTATCACACCCAGGCACATATGCAATAATTATTCGACGTCCTTTTCCGTCAAAACGACGTTTTCTTTCTCTGAAGCGATTGTAAGCAATGCTACGGCTGAGCGCCACCGTGCGTAGTGACGTCACAGCAACGTGGCGATCATTCGAAACTTTTCAAACGCCGTTCATTTTAAAATCGTGTTTGCTAATCACAACGATTTCTCTTGACAAAAAAATGAGTACCACTAATTTTTTTAATGTGCTTGGAGTTCATTTTCAAGGTTTTTGAAAAAACGCGGAAAACCCAATAGGGGTGCTCCCATTCGTAGTAGGAATTTTGAAAAAATGTTTAAAAAATCTGAAAGGGCATACCCAAAAACCTATTCAAAGACGTGCCAGTAGTCTTTTTAACTGTTATGGTTGCTGACACAAAAATTAAAGAAGAAACGCAAATTTCATCACTTTTTTTTAGGGTGACTCCCAAACGAAATACGTCTTTAAAATCAAAGTGGAAGTGGGCAGCGTGAACGCTTGTTTATAAAAGGAGTATTGGGAAAAAAGGTGGAAGAGCTTCTTTGGGTTTTGAATGCAGAGTTTTTGAAATATGCGTCCCCGTAGTTTAAAAAATGTTTGAACACATGTACAGTGAATTCAACAAAAAGAAGTCCGCATAACGTCTGTTATATATTTCAAGTGTTTGAAAAGGGAGTTTAAGATTGAAGGTGTTGTAATTTTGTCACGTGTGTTTACGAAACCAGTAAATTTAGAGGGTTGTGTAATTTGGGCACCTTCAAGAGTGTGATTTAAAAATTATTTGTGAAAATAAGTTTTGTTTGTAAAACAAACTAGTGTTTGTGGTCTTTCATTTTCATTGACAAGTAGTGATTGCCTTCTCTATCGTTTTAGGTGTTAACCCTGAAGTTCTGCGTGACAAATTTACACATGTACCACTTTATAGAGAACGTGAACGAGGATTCAGGCGACAACCAGCGATAACAAAAAATGTATTTCAGAAAGCGAGCGCGTTTGCCACGATCTCTTGGGACCTAAAAGTTTCCTTCCGTGTTGTTTAAAACCGAGCAAGAGTTTGTGTTGGGGCGGTAGTTTTAGCCTAATTTGGGACATTCATTTACGAGTGAGAAAATTTACGCGAAGATTGAAGAAACACTTTGAGTAGGAGCGAGTTAATAAACTGATATTTCAATATAACCTGTTACATTTACTCCACATGCAGATGGTTGACGCAAATAAACAAAGAAAGTCTTAAACTTACGTACAGTTTTTCAAACATAATCTCTCAACTTGGTTGTAACAACGGTCGTGCCATATTCCGAAACACTGAAACAAAACCACTTGCTGAAAATTTCAGGAAAGTTCACTACTTTTCTACTCCATGGTAACAATGATAACACAAACTGACTGAATTCACATTAACATAATTTCTAATTTTCAATGCGATGGCTGTTCAAACGGGAAACACTTTGACTTGTATTACACAAACAAAAGGTCTCGTTATGCACTACAACACCAACGTAACTTGTTCCGTAAATGGACCACATTAACTTCTCATAACTGCTTCTGTACTGATTAATCCAAAAATGACGTTTTTAAGGAAACAGAGAAATAACAATTGCGTACTAAAAATACACGCTCTTTAAGTCGTCATGACTTGTCAGCATCGTTCCTTTCTTATTATTCTTATTGAAGGTACCACCACCATTATTCCACCAAACTCCTACTTCTGTAAATTCCAATACACCAACAAAACAAAAGGCGAGGCGCGTCCTTACTGACGCCGACATTAATACGCAAAAGAATCGTACCTTCTATCTATAATTTAAAAAAACAAATTCACACAAAGGATAAAATATAAACTTTAAGCAATTAAAATCAAAGCTAAGATGCAGTTCTTGTTTCCGGCATTATTCCAACCTAAAAAACAGCAATATAAAAGAACGATACGGTTTTGAGCATGCCCATATAGGATTGTGTTTCTAACATGTCGAACAAAACAAGTTTCCGCCTTCACACATTAAAACCGCATCGTATTTTGTATTTTTAGCGGGTGCAGAATATTGGTTAATTTACAAACATAATATATACGAACTTCTCACGTTCATTATTTATCTAATACACAAATCGTATATAATTTTATTTAAATGCAGCTGTTTATGGACATGTAAAAATTACGCGATATATCCATGTCCTTATAGTATAAAATTTGAAATTTATATATTATATTTGTTTCTCCAAATTTCATTCAAATCGATGGTATCGATTTTGAGATTTTAGCTTTTAAAGTAAGCGGACAAAGATTGTGTTCCGAAACCCTGTATCTGAAATTGTTGCCGACGGAAATTAGGTACTTAACAGCTATCAGAGTCATAAAAAACGGTGTAAATAGGTAACGACCCACACTACATTTCATGCACGGGCCGATAAAAAATTAATTGGAAATTAAATCTATAACTAATGACAATGGCAAGCTATTATATCAAAATCTAATAAAGTTAAAAAGCGCGAAATTAAACTGAAAATTCAAACGGAATATTAGGCTTCTTTAATTATGAATTTAGGCTTCACTCCTTCCTTAAAATGAATGGACCATGCATGCATAATCGTCTAACTATGGCATATTTCCAAAAGTTCTGTCACACGTTTGATGATATTTGATGGATTTTCAGTGTACGAGAAACCTACAGTTCTGCAGTATATGTAGTGTCTCCCAACTAACAAGCGAGGCAGGCTCATTGTGTTATTATAGAAGCAAATATAAATAATTTTTTCGCCATGTTACGAAGGTCAAATTAGAAAAAGATATTCTGCAAACGTGTTTTTTTTTAAATCTAAAACCCTGTATATTTCTAGAAATTTCGAAATAAAATTAAATTCTGTATAAAAAACCGTTAACACACTATCCCGATTTAGTTAATAACAGAGTTACAGATTGTCGCAAGGTCAGAAGAGATTAGCTAAATTTACACCGTGTTTGTGGCAATTATTCGACAATGTATATTTGAGGTATTTGTCAATTTGGGTTTCCGGAGATATCATTGGCCAAAAGAAATGCATAATATTGGTGGAACATTTAAAATACACCCGGCCCGTGTAGCGCAGTTGAGTTGAAGCTTGACTGCTAGACTGCAGCACTAAAGGTCCCTGGTTCGAATCCGGGTTCGGGCATGGATATTTGTAAATGTATAGTAGGTTGGGTTGGTCGAGCAGCTCTTGCCTGAAACCCCGCCCACTCGAAAATAAAGACCAAATTTGTGCACACATATTTTCAGTGACATTTTCGTTTCCCGGCGGATTGCGTAATTGCTTGACGGTCCGTAAGTTGTTGCATATAGACGTTATTTCTATATAAACACCAAAAATAGTGACGAGACAACCGGTATATGAGAATATTGCAATTTATTAAGTAAATATGGGAGAATTATTTACGAAATGAGCACAGAGTTGGTTAGTTTCATTTGAATTTGTATCTAAGTGTTGTTTTTACTATTTGAAATATCGTAAATGCGTAATTGTTTAAATTTGATCGCTTTTGTACTTTATTCACTTTATATTAGGTGTTAGAAGTAAGACACATCTGGTTGTTTGACATAAGAAGTTTGATTGTTAGGCGAAATCTAATCAACGCACGTGTTCTAGTGCTGATAACGAAGACACAAGTGTTTCCAAGAATTGCGCGTTTCATTTTGGAGAAGTGGGGACGTTTGGCGCGTTCCGTCGTCGTGATTTATTTGAAAATTCCCTAAAGAAGGAGTTTATTTGATAGTGATTAAGTGATGTATATCTGTCGGCGGGTATCAAAACTTGAAATTCCAATATTTCAAAAACGGGGTGTCGAAAGAAGGTACCCTCAACTGAAGATATAAGTACCTACTTGCATCAAGATTTTACGTACACAGTGCTACGCTGAATACGCAGTACGCATACGGTATGTGTAATCCGATCTAACAGTCTAATATGACTTTTTTTTCGATGCAATGCTCCTGTAGTAACGTATAAAGGTTGTAGATTAGTAAGCCAACAGAATATGCTTTATTGCAGAGTAATTTTTGCCATGCACTCGTACGCGACCCTTCGCCGTTCTAAGGTCAGAATACTGCATATAGATTGATGGTGAGAGGGCGCTACCATTTCTTAAGCTTAAACTAATAGTGCAGTGCAAATCCACCGCAGCGAATACGAAAGAGAATTCGTTGCAGTCACATACGTAGCTAAATTTTCCTCTCCCCCTGTATTTCTGTTTTGCGCTAGGTTCTAGTTCAACGTTGTTCTTTTTTGACTAAATTTTGATACACTTACCTAAGGTCCGCTCAAACCGACGCGGGAATGCGGCACGAGAGCGGGAGAGGGTTAAATTTATAGAACTCCCTATAGTTCATTGTTGCACTTTAATTTTTGCTGGATTAAATTTGTCAAACTGGCGCCTGGACATTTATTTGTATCTCATCCTCCAACACACGACCAGCTCCAGTTATTCTAATTTCCTTTAATACCTACCTCCGGCCTGTTCCTTCTGGAGCTCGAATAAAAGTCATCTACCGTCCGAAACTTACTGAAGGAATGCCAACTTAATACCCTGATTTTTTATTTCAAAAATACTCAATTTTAACTTTATTCGAAGACTTTTTGTGGGAACATTTAAAAAATGACATTGCAAAAATTTGAGTTGGTTATTGGACATTATTTTTGTGTAATTGCAATCTCCAGCTGTTATACAGGTTCTTGAGGTCTTGACAGTGTCCCTACCATTGAAAGGGATAAAATTTACTTGATCATGCATGAAAATTTTGGGCCGAAATTAGATGGGACAATTGCACTTAGGCGCAGGTTTCTACAAAATTTATTCGATTAGCAAATATACACATTTTAATGGAAACTTACCCCCGTAGATGGTACTGGGCAAGGTGAGCACGGAGGACACGGTGGACACACAGGGGATACTACCGGTACGTACACACAAGGGGCCGGACAACAAGGAACGACTAGGGGCGCACACGGACATGGCGGTGGAGGTCCACAGGGACACACCGGAACGGGTACGCAACAGCTTGGAGGACAGCAAGACATTTTCTTTCGCTTCTGACACTTAAAATTTGGAAGATTGGGAAAATATTTTAGATTTGCTTGTGAAAGCAAATGAATTTTGTTTTGTTAGATATTAATTACTATGGAGAACTGATTTTCAGTTTTTTCAAGGTGACCTGTTTCTAAACATTAAGCAGTTTGATCGCGATGCTTATTCAGTGGCCTACTAAAATCACTCTAAACTAGAAAAAAAAATCAAAAACCCAAGCAAGGTATTAAAGAAGTAGGTCGAGAACGCGTTTTGTGATTTCCTGTCTCAGAAGTTTATCGTCGAAGCCCAAAATTTAATCACTTTGGTGGGAAGTCATTGCGTATCTCTGTACCAAATTTGAACGTTATAGGGCGAAGCATGTTTGGATTATCTTGCACACCACCACTATTGCTATAAAAACGGTGGAACACCGACGAGAATTCATGACAAAGTGACCAACAAATGAAACTTTATTCACCAATACACCATTTTCTAAGTAAGGTTTTTTTTAAATTACATGATTAAGGGTATTTACGTCGGTTGCCGTGTCTAAATTTCCACTACTTGTAACTCAGCTCTGTAAAATGTAAACGTTAGTACAATTGTAAAATGAAGGCCTTAAATCACTTACCTACGGAGGACAGCATGGTGCCATGGAATAACAGGGCACACAGCAAGGTATACACGGAGTGCATACAGGATAGCAACAAGAGGAATAGTAGAAGGGACAACAAGGTGTCGAACCTGGTGGGCACAACATTTTTCACTGGAAATTTTAGATCTTCTGTTTTGAAAGGGTTTTTTTGGCAATTGATTATAGGCGTTTGTTATTTGAATTTTCAACGCTATCTTGTTAGAAAAGTGAAAAATGGTGCAGTTTTGGACTTTGTTTTAATTCCTGTTTCTGAAATGCTGATATGTTTTTGTTGGTGATCTGTACGGCACTCCATTTCTCCAACGAAAGACCTTGTGGTATGTTTTGACCTTTTTCGCTTACAATCTACATATACGTTTTGAAGCAAAGGTATACCTAGAACACGAAATTTGATTCAATATCCAGTGACCAAGTTTACTTTTTTGACCGCAGAAATAACAAGAATGATGCCCTTATTAACTTCCATAAGCATAAGTATCCTAAACAGTTCTTTCAAAGTACAACAATTTCTTCCTCTTTATTTGCATTTGCCGAAGGCAGCGCTACAGCCTACACGGTTTCTGGCATTCACATGATAGCATCTAAAGTTTCAACAAACCTGAATTAACCTTCTATGTGTTAACGTTGATGAGAAAAAATTGAATAAACGCGAACGATTTTGAGGAGGTGTTGGTATATGGATAAGGGTAGATATTAGGAATCCATGATCAAAACAAAGGATCAAAAAATTGTGTAAAGCTCAATACATATACATGTTTTACCTATACAGTTCTGTGTACAATGGCATGCGGTCACTACGCCGCGCCGCCAATAAAGCTAAAGCTCAAAACAATCAAAATTGAATCTTAGATCATGTTTCCTCGCTACACATCCGACAGTCAAAGGGTTAATCAAAACAAATAGGACTAACTGCCCTTAATTTAATGTAAGCAGATGTCGTTTCTTGTATTTAAGGAAACAGCACTAGCACTTCCACCATCAAATAAACTCCTCCTTCTAGAATTTTCAAATCAAACAATCAACGAAGACACACGTCAAACGTCTTCACTTCGCCAATATGCATCGTGAAATTATTCGAAACACCTTACCTCTTAACATCAATAAAAACACGTGCGTTAATTAATTTTCGCCTGAGGAAACTTCTGATCGCAACGACCAGATGCGTCTTATTTCTAACACATTATCTAAATTGAATACATTACAAAAGCGACATAATTTAAACAAGAATTCGCATTAACAAAATTTCTAAAAGGAAAAACAACACTGATATACTGATATTTAAATGAAGAACCAACTTTGTGCTAATTTCGTAAATAATCCCCCAGATTTACTTAATAAATTGAAATATTTCTCATAAACAGGGTGTCCAGTTATTATTTTCGGTGTTTATACGGAAATAACGTCTACGTGATGTTGTTTACACAACAACAGTTATCACCTGCACTATGTTTGGCTGGGAAAAGCACTTGAAAGCAAAGGCAGGGTAAACAAATCACACTTGATTTGCCCCTGACGGCATTTTTGTGCTACGATATAGTAACGTCGGGACCACGAAATACTTCACTACACATGTGTTTACCATTTCAAACACCTGCAGTCCAGTTTTTTCCTAGAAATCCGTGAAGTGCAGGGAATGGGCGATTTTCAGGTGGTTTTTAGGGGTGTTAAGAGATCAAATTACAGAGTCGCTTGGGGTAGTCAATAAATACGATTTAACATGTGTGTTCAAGGTCTTTTTCTTGTGACCGGCTTAAGTGTAAAGTAGGGCTTATCTTGAAATATTTTGTTATACCTTAATCATTGCTGTGTGCTTTTGCTTTTTATATCAGGTGAGGTATTTGCTTTATTCAATTAATCTATAAATGTGTGTAACTTGAATGCAGATTGTAACCCTTTACTTTATGTACTTACTGGATTCAACCACTTGTACCTCTTAATGTGTAACCTTTGTTGGTATTGGCAATCATGTTTCATTGTCGGTAGGGCTGTATCTGTGCTTTACATACTTGCATGTGTACATATTTGTGTATTGTGCTTTTAGTCACTCTCGATTATTTCATTGCATTTCATTATATTTGCTTATTTGGGGCTGTGAGTAATCAAGAGGGAAGTGTGCTTGGTTAGAGGGGATCGAGTTATTCAAGTTTATACGGGTCTCGGTGAACCTAACACTAACATTTTCACTCGTTCCGAAACCCAACAACTTTAGGCCACGTCTACAGGCACCCCATTGGGCCTGGGTAATCCTACCGCCCGGCGAGGCATATTTAATATCTCTTAGTTTTGTCTGATGTATGTGTTGTAATACCTGGGGAATGGCTCGATTCCATTTTGGTTACTCATAGCTTGTATGTAGTATATACCACGGTTTCGAGAGGGCTCAAAAGTGCTGTACATTAGATGTTAGCTGTAGGCTTTGTTCATTGTAGAACTACTCCGAATTAGGTTTTCCTAATTCGTAAGGTAAATGCCGGAGTAGTATAGAACCACTTAAGACCCTCTGCAGGGGCGCCGTATTGGTATTAGCTTTAATATTTATAATCTTAATCAGCTATTGCTTTTGGTGTTCCTTACCCCTAAAACGCCCTCAGTGCCTGCTGAGAACCCAGTTATTACACAACGTAGGTGCCATATATGACGATCCGATCTTAGTACACTCGGAGTGACTCCCGAGTGACAGATTCTCGCGGGAAACTTAAACGAGAATATTCAAATAGGCAGCCATGTTAGTTTGGCATTCCCGCTGCTACAGAATATGGTCCGATATTCTGGCGTGACTTGAAGTTGGCGTTAGACCGCCAAGATGGTAGGGGGCTAAGATCATTGGCCGGCTGGCTGGTTGGCAGCAAATTCGGGCCCATAGAAGAAGCGTGTAGAAAGACAAGGGGCGTACTTGTACCTACCGGGGCCGTATAAATACCAACTTTAGGGACGGGGCTACATGATGCTCACATCATACATTCATAGGTCGGTTCCTTTAGGAATATTACGATGATTGCAACGAATCACCCGTTCCTTGCCTTGAGGTTTATCCGCCTTTTTATGCACACTCTGTATATAGACGAATAGTTGGGCGCTTCGTTACTAAAAAGAACCCGTAGTTTCTGAACTGTGTGTGTTATAGACGATAACGCACGTAACTTTCATATTGAATTTATCTGTTTTGCATCCATTCCCGCGGGGATATTTAAATTGTTGCAGCATCCGAAAGCTTTGTTCAATTTGAAGAGGAAGGCAAATGAATATTTTATGGTTTCAGCGTCATTAATTAAGTATCAACCGGTTTTAGTTTCCCTGTGCAAAAGGATAACCTTTAAAACCAGTCGAGGCGTTTTATCTTTTTGATAAAGTGACCGTGGCTTGAACCGAAATTCCAATTAAGACCTGACTCGGCCAATTGGGTATGTATATTTAGCAATAGCTAATTAAATGAGTTGCAATCAACGTCATCTGATTGGGGCGTCCTTAGTGCCAAATTAAGCGCGCTTAATTAAGAAAAAGGTTGAGCCCAGTCCCATATTTTTCCGTTGATCTCCCGCCACGCAATTAATTCAAAAAGTTCGTATTCTGTTCGAATACACTGGGTCGACTGGGAAGACCGACGTTCTCTCCAGGATTTGTCCAAATGCTATATAAGGTAAACGGTCAATTAGAGGGAATCTTTTGCATTTTGCATCTTTTGCCATTTTTTTACAAATAATTTGGTTGATTTAGTATTATTTTTCCCGATCCGTTTAGTTTTAAAGGTAACAGTTTACCATTTACTAACCTGTTAATTGTAAGGGGGATGGGGGGGGGGGGGATTACTTTGCTTGAAACTTCCTGTAGATATCGTTTTTAAATTTTAAACTAAGTTTTGCTTTTGTACCGTTTAAGCTTTCGCCGCCGTCCGTCCGTCTGTAACTCTGTTTTTGGTTTGTTTCGTTTTGATTTCTGAATGACGTTGAGTTTGCATGTGGCATTCTTCCCCGTTCGTTCGTTCTGTCCGACACCGCTGCCCTGTCCAGGAACAGGAGTTATTTGTTTATTTTCTGGTGACTCTTGAGACCGTGCTATAAATCAGGTTTCCAATCAGTTTATACTTGTCCCGCGATTTTGGGAATTTCCACAGGCATAAATTAGTTTTTTTTAATTTATGGCACAGGTGTTTCGTTAAAACACTAGAAACTGTATACTCATCTTTAGCGAAAAAGAAAGTTACAGAGAACTCACAATTACAATTAAGCTAAAATTTATTGTTATTATCTCCAGACATACTTTAGTTTAATATGAAGCGGTATATGTGGAAATTAAATCTCACAATTTGAAACAGTTGTACAGTAATTTCCAATGCATTTCAAAAGTTTTATAAATTGAAACTATTTTCCTCTATTAATTAGGAGACTTGTAGTTATTTAAAACGCCACTCATTTTTCCACAATGAGCCAGAAATCATGCTTTTTCGAAAAGAGCTATTAAACTCAAAATGTTCTCCCCGAATTTAAAGTACTTTGGGAGCGTTATTCCATAAGCTGATATGCCACATATAAATAATCAGTCTACAAATTATGTACGGTAGAGACTTTGAATATCAAAGGTAGAGAGTAAAGTTAAAGATTTTCATAATAGCGGTTTAGTTACTTTTTTCAATTCACTATTCTATCATTCTTGATCCTGACCCAATTTGATGAGGTTTACTAACAAGTTTTAACTTTTAGGTGAGAAATTAAGGTCAACATTTATTTTATTTAGTAGCGCTTAAAATGTATTCACCTGCCTCATATAGAACTTGTTGGTTAATACAATTTTAGAAACATTCCTAATGAAAGATAAACAAAAATGCTTGTTTAAGATAAAGTTGTACTCGTTTCTTATCTAAAGAAACCCACTGGATATTTCAAAAAGTAAAGGATTTCGAATTGAAATATTTACAAAATTTTAATATTTGAAAACCAAATACAAAACTGAAAGTTTCACAATTTTCTGTATTTATATAAACTCCTATATGGCAAGTTCAATTGGAAATTTCGATCGTAATTTTGTGAAGATGAAACATCGCAATTTGTTATGAATAAAACATCACAAGAATTTAAATCACCGTGTCCAGTAATTAAGCTAAGTAATTAATTATTTGCTGTTTTATATTATAATTAAATGTAAATTTTATGTTCGAAATAAGCGCTGCGCATCAGGCCGGACTATGACGAAAAAATTAATCTAGTTAAGTAGATCGAC